AACTCTTCAGTCCCAGAGCTAACTGAACTGTCATCCTTACAGACTCCAGTGAACCTGCCTCCCGGCCTGAACCAGTTCCAGTGTAATCATTCATGTGCTTGTGCTTTAATAAACTCTGTTAAACTTTTCATCAGACTCCGTTGTGTTCTGCATATTGGGCTTTTCTGAACCAATCATGACAATTATGGTGTAAGTGATTGCACACTTGTTTGGCAACTACTTTCTCAAGAATTTTAGATAAGAAAGGAAGATTGGATACAGGTCTATAATTGACCAAGTCATCTGGGTCAAGAGACCCAGATGACTATTAATGAGGAGAAATATGCTGCTCTTGCTTTACAAAGGGTCCTCTTATACAGCAGTAAACAAAATTTCCAGACTAGGTAGGATTCCTGTAGGCCTGTAGAGCAATATTTTCTCTCCAGTTACCTAGCATTTTGCTTTAAAGTGCGCAGCTCTGCATTAAACGAAGGAGCAAGATTTCTATTTTTAAAGGTTTTCATTTTCAAAGGAGCTGCATTGTCTAAGGCAGTATGCAGAGAACTAGCAACCCCATCAACCTGTGAAGGGGAATAAGCTATGCTTTTGCACTCTGCAGCACTGCTCAGCGACACAGAGGAAAGAGAAAGTGAAGCAGATTCTTTAAAATGTATAACTGCACTATCTGATAATGATCTACTAAAATTGAACCTTCTTTTGGGGGAGGGGAACTCTGTTAAAGTAATCCTGATGGTTATTAGAAAGTGAGGGGACAGGGTTGTGAGGACATACTGTTATTTCTTCACATTCTATGCCGTATGTCAGCACAAGATCCAAAGTATGAAGATGAGAATGTGTGGGACTATTCACATTTTGAACAAAGCCAATAGTGTCTAAGAAAACATTAAAGGCTGCTCTTATGCTATCGCCTTCAATGTCAGCATAGATGTTAAAATCTCACACTATGATGACCCTGTCAGTATTTAATACAAAATCAGAAAGGAAAACTCTGAAAACTCATCTAAAAATTCAGAGAAAGGACCTGGTGGACCATATAAAGTTACAAGAAGAGGTTTTCTTGCTTTGAAATTTGGATCAGGGAAATTAATTAAGTATGTATTTACTGTAATCAGCAGTCTGATTAACTGTATTAAAGTAAGTATTAACTGTCTTGGGAGTAATCAGTAAGTCAGACTGAAAGATTGTTGCTACTCCTCCTCCTCACCCAGAACTTC